TCCCCTACCCAAACCTCATACCCGTCCTACACCTGCTCCTATTCTTGATAGTGATAATACTTTATTATAATTTACTGAAAGTCAATATTTGCATAATGTTGGAGGTGGTGAACAATTAAACCATTAATATATGAATGCTCTTTATGGTAATCCAACTATTGATGAAAATGATGATGAAGAAATAGATTTTGACGAAACGCAATCGGATGACGATACACCCACTAGTCCTGCAGCTGAAGTTAACCTAACTAATAATAATCCAAATGATGCCCCGTATGACCCTCATGTTACTACCCCTACTTTTTTTAGACAACCTTCTAAACGGAGCGAAACATCTCTTGTTTGGCCATTTCTTACTCAACTAAGAGAAAAAAATAGGGCTAAGTGTAAAACTTGTGGCAAAGAGTTAGCTTTTAAATATGTTGGAGGTTGGGGGGGAGGGGGGGGGGTAGGGAGGACGGGAAGTTTGAGGAGACACATATTGCTACACCCTCAAGATAAATTTAAATATCTTCGTATGAAAGCTTTGGCCGAGGGGACAAGTGTACCTAGTCAGGATGACCTTAGTACCGGGTCAAATCAATTTCAACCGGGAATTAACACTGTTACCGGTGGTATTTTATATTATGATCCAAGAAAAGATCGGGAAGAATTGGCAAAAATGGTTACTGTTATGTGCTTACCCTATAGTTTTCCTTCCCCTCACTTTGTGCATTATATTAGAAAAGTTTTTAATCCTACTTATAAAGGATGTCCTTGCACAACCGTAAAGAGCGATATTTATAAATATAAACATGAATATGAACAATATTTGCGCTATTTATTTACTTATATAAATTGTCGCGTTGCTATTACTACTGATATTGGTAGAAGTGGTAATGCTGTGATTATCTTACTATTACCAGTCATTGGATTGATGGGGATTGGATAATGCAAAAACGCATTATTGCTTATAGAATAATTAATTCAAGTCACACAGAGCAGTTTATTTCTAGCACGGTTACGGATATTTGTAGATATTTTTGCATTAGTGATAAAATAATGTCAATTTCAATGGATAGTGCTACTAGTAACACTAATGTTGTAGCCTTGCTTACCACTACACTAAATCCTGCATTTAGTAACATTTTTCACGTTAGATGTATTTGACATTTACCATTTAATTGTGGGTGATGGCATGAGAATTCTAAATGTTGAAATTGAAAAGGTTAAAATGGCTCTTAACTCGCTTTTTTATTCAAACCGTAGAAGTAGACTTAGAGAATATTTTAAAAGATGCGATGAATTTGGCCTAAGAGAAAGAAATGTTCCTAAAGCTTGTCCAACTAGATGGAATTACATTTATAAAAGTTTAGTTGTTGCATATAAATATAGAAACCCCATAAACTCAACGTTTAATGCTCATGTAAGTGATGATGACGAGCACCTTACAAATGCGGATCGGGCTAATGTTAAAATGCTTGTAGATTTTTTTGGAAAAAATTCATATTGCTACAAATGAATTTTCTGGGCAATATTATCCTACTATTTCTAACTGTTTAATATATTGCAGAACTTGCAAATTTGTTTGCTCATTTTTCGGAGGGTGGAGAAATTTATGAACAAGCTATTGATTCTATGAGAAAAAGTTTAAAAAATATTTTTTCCTTATTCCCCCTATTTATGGTGTTGCTGCCTTGTTAAATCCTACTATGAAATTAGGAGGTCCTCAATTTGAGTCCATTACTTAAATGATCACTCAACTATCCCAAATTATCTCCAAAAGTCACTTTACTTTCATTGTAACAACAAAGTCACTGAACTATGCCTATTGCACTCAGAAGCTCACTCAACTAGATTTTTCAAATTATGGATTGTCAAATACCTATTTTACCCTCTAAATTATAAACATTTATCTTCTTTTTATTTTTTTAGACTTTTTAATATTATGACTTTTCCTTTTTAATTTATATTATGGACTTAACTATAGAATAAAAAAATCTTATATATAAATTTTAAAAATAAAAATTATTTAAGCATATATAATGGTGGAATAACAAAATAATGAGCATAGTAAAAATAATTAATTAGAATAATTTGTTAGTAATAATAATTTTAGTATTAACAACAAAAATTCAAAAATTTATTCACGTAATTCAGAATGAAAGAAATAAAGGTTGTAAAATATATATTCCATGTACGTAATATAAAAATAATTATTTAAAAATAAAGTTATTTTATAATATACATTATATATTCTTGAAAATTATGCTCAATTATATTATTATATATTCCATGCACGACTTAACATAGCATATTTTACCCTATACAAATAGTCCCGCTGNGGGGACTATCTGTATATGGTAAAATATGCTATGTTAAGTCGTGCATGGAATATATATAATATAATTGAGCATAATTTTCAAGAATATATAATGTATATTATAAAAATACTTTTACTTACATAATTATTTTTATATTACGTGCATGGAATATATATTTAAATCTTTTATTTCTTTCATTCTGAATTGTGTAAATAAATTTTTGAATTTGTTGTTACTACTAAATTATTTTTACTAACAAATTATTCTAATTAATTTTTTTTACTATGCTCATAATTTTGTTATTCCAGCATTATAAATGCTTAAATACTTTTTATTTTTAATTTATAAATAATATTTATTTATTCTATAGGTAAGCCCATAATATAAATTAAAAAGGGAAAATCATAATATTATAAAGTTTAAAAATAAAAAGAAGATAAATATTTATAATTTAGAGGGTAAAATAGGTATTTGGCAATCCAAAATTTGGAAAATCTAGTTGAGTGATCTTCTGAGTGCAATAGTCATAGTCAGTGACTTTGTTGTTACTAACGAAAGTAAAGTGACTTTAGGAGATCATTTGGGATAGTTGAGTGACCATTTGAGTAATTGACTCCCTCAATTTTGGTATGAAACTGTTAATAATGGTTTAGCACTTGAAGATGAGGAGTTGTCTAAACTTCTGGAAGCACAAGCCTCAAAATTAATAAATGCTCAAACTATTTATAGTGCTTATAAAATTGCATTAGATCATGCTAGACCAAATGTTCCAACTCCTTCTTCTTCTTCTAGTTCTCAATCATCTAAAAGAACTGCGGGAGTAAGAGCACTTACTAGTTGGGCCGGGTTCAGGGGTTCTCAAGGTTCTAGTAGTAGTGATTTTTCACAACTAAATGAGCTTGAAGTGTATTTGTCACAGGGAATTGAGGAAGTGAATACCGACGGCTCCTTTAATATTTTGGAATGGTGGAATGACAAAGAAAAACACTTTCCGATTCTTTCAAGGATGGCCCAAGACATTTTAAATATTCAAGTTTCAACAATGGCATCGGAGAGCGCTTTCAGTCAAGCAAGACTTCAACTTGGTGAGCGTCTATGTGCGAGAGCTTGGAAAAATTAGTACTTTTCAGAGATTGGATCCGTTCGGAACGAAGAAATTTTGGACTTGCTGAATCACAACCAGAGGTAGATGAAGCTTACGAAGAAATGCTAGCTGAACTTGCAGAGGATGCTGCTTCGCCCGGAAGCGGTGATGAATAAGCTTCTTTTCCGCCACCACCAACGGAAATTCCTCAGAACCTTGAAGGATTTATGAAATTTGTAAGAGATACCATGTAAATTAATATGTAACTTGTATTTTGGCACATCTTGATTAGTTTCTTTTTCTTATCAATGGTGGTATTAGCACCTTGTTGTGCTCATTCCGGGGGGAGGGGGGAAGATTAAGAAAGATATTGTCATGTTTTGTTAATTATAACAAATTATAACGCATTGCTTTGAATATCTCTTTACAATATTTTTTGTGTTTAAATTTGAATTAAAAAATTTAGGTCACAATTCTATAAATATAATTTACAAGGAATTGCCTTAGATAAAAATTTAAAAAAAAAATAGAAAGTATCTGTTGGGCCCATTTAGGCCCACATAGGCCCGGGACCAGCCCACTTAGCCCGGGACCATTAGTTCGTGGTCTCGGTCCCGGGCTGGTTCCTACAAAAAGCCCACATAGGTCTGGGACCACTTAGGACCGGCCTACGAAGTCCGAGCCCACTTAGAACCGGCCCACGAAATCCATTTAGCACCGGGCCCAGCCCACATTACAGCCCTATCAGCGTAACTTTAGATTGCAGTAAATCGTTAGTTTCTTTTGACTTGTGCAGGGCAAGCTTCACAATGGTGTTCCTAAATTAGGTCTTGCAATTTCTTGATTAAATTTAGGAGGTATCTGTTGGTGAAAGAGTCTTCCAAATATTGCGAAAAGATTTGTAAGGACCGTTTGATTAATTTTAGAAGTTACCGGAAAATGTTTTTGGAAGAATTAACTTGAGAATGGTCTTCACGGTAATTTATTGTTCCACTCATCCGTAGGAAAAAACCTAACAAGATCGTATCATCTTATGTTACTATTAAAATTTAGACTATCCTGTAACAATGTCAATAAATGGTTTAGTTTAAGGTAAAAGCGTATAGTTAGACTCTCCATTTTTCCTACATTGAATACCTAGGCTTATTTTACCGTGTATTAATTTTTCTTGATGGAAAGTTGTTTGAAACAATTAAAAAGGGAATAAGAGGTTCGATTATTGTGATAATTGTTTTGCTTTGGTTAGCTTGTATGCATCTCTGAAAATGATAGGAAAAGTTTCTTTAAATCACTAAATGCTCTAGCATAAAACATTTTGTGTTGCTCCAGCGAGATAATAAAAGTAAAAAAAAAAAAAAACAAGACAAAAGAACTGTAAAAGGAAGAGATATATGGAGAAAAGCAGAACCATTGAAAATGAGGGTGTTTGAGAGGGAAATAATTAATCCTAAAAACTTGCCTAATATAATGGATATATGGTGAATTATCCACATTTCTATCTAGCATATCAACTTACGTTAATGTCTAACAATCTGAACGAACACTAACACTAATTGTTTCAGAAAAATAAATGTCCATGCTTTCCATTTCAATTATTAGAGTAAATTCTTCACCAAACCATCCTCTTTCTTCATTTGCTTCTTTAATCAGTAGTTTTTGTAACAAAAATGGTAAAACGAAGAGTTTCAGATTCAATAGGAGTAGTCCAAGGTCGATATCGTCAAGAATTATTTATATGTCAATTTTCAGATATGGTCAATTCCAAAGGATGTTTATGGTCTGGAGGTGACCCTTTCGCTTTCAGTTTACCACTGGTGTTGGCACAATTGATTTTCATTTTCTTCGTCACCAGAATTACTTTTTTCCTCATCAGACCTCTTAAACAAAGTATGGTCAGTGCACAACTTATTGTAAGCTCCTTTATTCTCTACATAATTATGATCAACACCTAACAATTCTATTACTTGTGTTACAATATTGATACTATCTTTATTGTCGGAGATAAATTCAAGATTTAAATTTGATAGGTTCAATCTTTAAGTTTTTACCCGTAAGTCCAATACCCTTTTGAAAATTTTGATGTCTTGAAATTTTAGTAATTTTTTTGCGCGCGTGCACACACACATCCGCCTCCGAGTACCTTATAATTCTGTTACCAGAGGTGGACCTATGCTATACAAAAAGGGGTCACTGTCGCCCGTAAAATTCGGTAAAAATTTCATTTATACATACATATGTCTTTAGAAAATAGTGATATATTAGTAGGGGCACCCTATACATAAAACAGATTTTGGTTGAATCCAAAAGTGCATCCGCGACCTTCAAATCCTGGGTCTGCCTCTATCTGTTACTTATAGAAATGGATTTATGATTTAAACTTGACGGATTCAATCTTTAAAATTCTTAGCATAAATCTTTGTACTTTTGAAATTATGGATTCAAACTTTAATAGTTGTTGACATATTTAGTAATGTTGGGTTCATTGTTACTGCCTCTGATTACTTGTGTTACAATGTTCATGCTATCATTATTGTTGGTCTAAAACAGGCTGGTGTTTTCATGGGGCAATCAGGCTTATGTCGTAACAGAGCGTTTGCGGCCTTAATGTTTCCACCAAGAGGAAGAATGGTACTACAAACAGTTGCAGATCTTGCTTTCATGTTTCATCTTTTTGTTCTTGGAATTCATGTAGATCCAACAATGGTGAAAAGAGCGGGGAGAAATGCGATGCTAATTGGTGCATCCAGTTTCGCGTTGCCTTTTGTACTTGGATGTCTAGCCAGTTATACATTACCTCATTTGGCTGTAGTAGATGAAGCAACAGCTCATTTGCTGCCTTATGTAGCCGTACTTAACTCAGCGTCTTTCTTTCCTGTGATCACAAGCCTTCTTGGCGATCTTAAGATTCTAAACTCAGAAATTGGTCGAATAGCTACATTGGCTTCTATGGTTACTGATATTTGTATATATGTCATTTTCATAATTGGGACTACAGTAAATTCATCAGCAAGTTGTTCAAAGTGGAATGGAGCATTGTGCATTGCGTGGATAGGCACTTTCTTGATAGTAGTTGTGTTTGCAGTAAGGCCATTTGTGCAACAAATTGCTAGGACTATACCTGAAAAAGGGTCTATGAAAGAAAGCCAATTTCTAGTTGTAGCTATGATAGTTTTGATCTGTGGCTTTGTCGCGGAGTCTCTTGGACAACCGGCTGCTCTTGGTACTTTTATTTTGGGCATGGTGGTACCGGAGGGACCTCCTCTAGGTTCATCTTTGGTTTACAAAATCGATTCTTTATGTACTGGATTGTTGCTTCCTGCTAAGTTTGCTATTAGTGGTTTGGCAATGGACATTTTCGCAATAGGAAAAGGAAAGAGTCTTTTAGGCGTTGAAGCAGTGATCATCTTAGGTTATTTTGGAAAATTTGCTGGCACTCTTGTTCCAGCAGTTCATTTTGGTGTTCCTTTTAGAGATGCACTTTCTCTTGCTCTTATCATGTGTTGCAAAGGAATTATCGAGGCATCCCTCTATATCGGCCTCAGGGATAATGGAGTACGCAACCTAACTCCTTTCTTTTCTGCGCTTTTCTGTTATCAATGTATTTTAACCTGTTATAGCTCGGTTACCTGAAAATTCAATTACTATCTATAGAAGTTAAACTCAACTACTAGTAGTAAACGAGTTATTTACGTGTCTCTTATTTGGTTATCTACAGATAATAACAAATGAAGCGTATGCGCTTTTGTTAATCACAATGTTGGTGATAACAGGAGCTTTGAGACCCTTAATTTGGTACCTCTATGATCCATCAAGAAGGTATTTAGGCTACAGAACAAATAGTATACAGCATTTGGATCCGACGAGTGAGCTTCGGATACAGGTATGTATTCACAATGAAGATAATGTCCCAAGTATTGTTAATCTTCTAGAAGCCTCCAATCCAAGTAGAAGGAGACCTATTTCAGTGTTTGTTCTTAATCTAATGGAGCTCAAAGGTAGCGCGGCTGCATTGCTGGTGCCAACGCATAATAGAAGAGGCAAGGCTAAACTCAAGTCTCTGCCAAGCAGAACAGAACAAGTATCAAACGCGTTCAACATCTTCGCGCATAGAAATCAAGGTTCTGTGGCTGTTCAACACTTCACATCCATTGTTCCTTATGCCACTATGCATGATGACATATGTACAATCGCGATGGAAAAAGGTGTCAGTATTGTGATCGTCCCGTTCCATAAGCAGTGGGCGATTGATGGAACAGTAGGAGCCAATTTTCCTGCTATTAGAATGGTGAACCAACAGGTACTCTATAAAGCACCTTGCTCGGTTGGACTCCTAGTTGATCGAGGTCAATTAGCCGATAACCAACAAATCTTGTTTGGCCATTCTTTTTTTCGCGTTACAATGCTCTACCTTGGCGGTCCAGATGATGATGAGGCGCTGGCCTATTGCAGCCGAATGCTAGAGCATCCACATATCAGCCTAACTCTCGTCTGGCTCAGACATTCGAGTGACAATATCGATAACAGTGTGGAGTCAGATACGATACGTTGGTTCAAGGCTAATAACATTGGTGCAGAAAGGGTGAGTTACAAAGAAGAAGTGGTGAAAGATGCAGTGGGGACGACACAGGTTCTTCGTTCACTCGAGAACAATTGTGATCTTTGTATAGTTGGTAGAGACCATGAACAATCTGAGTTAACACTAGGGATTAATGAATGGATTGAATGTCCAGAACTAGGATTTATTGGAGACATGTTAGCGACTTCGGATTATAGTTTTTCGTTGCTAGTTGTGCAACAAATACCACCAGGGACTGAGTTTATGAACAGCCACTCCCTGAAACCTGTATCTAGCAGTTATTATTCTAGTTCAGGGAAATATAGTCATCGTTCTGGTTTTGGCTCTTTTGGGTAGCAGCTGAAGTAGTTTTGCCTCTTTGATCAATACCAAAAAAAGGCCAGCTCGGTGCACTAAGCTCCCGCTATGCGCGGGGTCCAGGGAAGAGCAGGACCACAAGGGTCTATTGTACGCAGCCGTACCAAAGAATGGTCAATACCAAGAATGTAGAAAATAGCTTGAAGGATAGATAGAAAGAAAATGGTCTTCTCTGTATTATAAATCTTACAGAATTGTATGTAGAAATTAGGAAGCACAAAGTTCAGTTTCTGCAATTAGTTAGAATGCAGGTTTTGTTTTTTGGTTGTTTCAGGTTTTCAACAAATAGCCTAAGGGTGTTAAACGGGCTGGGTCAGACCGGTTCCGAACCGGCCCAGACTGGTTAAACCCGGAACCGACCCGGACCGGACCGGTTAGAGGGGGCTGGGCTGAGTAGGGGGGATAGAGGGGTTGGTCCGTTTAGGTTAGTGAAAACGGGTAAGCGGCCCGGTTGAACCCGGGTGAACAGTAACCCTTACCGGGTTAATCGGCCCGGACCGGCCCGGTTCAACGGCCAAATTTTTTTTTTTTTTTTAATTTTCGAAATATGTGGGCCCCACAGACCGTTGACAATGGTCAGACCTTGAATTGGTCCGTTGGCCAACGGAAATATTGCATAAATAGCCTTTTTTTTTTAATTTTTAACCCTTTTTCAATTTACAAAACTAACCTTCTCTAAAACTATAAACTACTACCCCCCCCCCCCTCTTCATTTCTTCACTCAATACTCATTTCTCAATCTCAATTTCTCTCATTCTCTCATTCTCCAATTTGCAAGACTTCAAGTCTCAATCTCAAATTCTAAATTCTCAAATCTCAAGTTAAACCTCGTACTTCTAGAGTGCGCTCATATGTTTGGCAACACTTTGAGGTGGTAGAAGAAAATGAAGAAGGTCAGAAATTGAAGTGCAAGGACTGTGGTCAAGTCATAAAATTTCGTTCAGAGTGTGGCACGGGCAGTTTAAGGAGGCATATAAAGTATTGTCTTGAGCGTCCTTCGGAAATTCGTATTTAAGATTTTTCGACAATTTGTGTTATTTTAAAATTATTAGACGTATTTATGCTTAATGTTTTAGTTTGTTAGATTAATTTGAAGTATTATTAATTTATTATGCATGAAAATTTAATTTTACTATTTTTTTGTTAATTTACTTTTTAAATGCAAACTTTAATTTTGAATTTTGAAATAAATGTAGTGCTTGCAATTTATAAGTGCAATTTTTTCCCATCTTCCTTGTATTCTTTAAATTAATACAAAGTATTAATATAACTTACAATAGTTATACAAAATTCCAAAAAAAAATTAAAAATACACTAAACCCGGCCCGGCCCGGCCCCCTCAACCCGTAACCCTTACGGTTCAATTTTTACCCGGATGAACCCGAACCCGTTAAACCCGTTAAGAACCAACCCGGAACCGGCCCGGATCGTACCCCATACGGGTCCAAAAAATAGAGGCCCGGCCTGGCCCGGCCCACCCGTTTAACACCCTTTATTAGCTTCACATAGCCATGTTTTTGTAGCACACCAATTCTTATTTACAGTATTGGTGTATGCTAAATTGGCTATGATCTTTATTTGACTTGAGAGTTATAGCCTGTTTGGCCAAGCTTCTTTTGAGGCAAAAGCACTTTTTTTCGGTCAGAAGTGCTTTTTTTCTAAAATTAAGGTGTTTGGCCAAGCTTTTGGAAAGAAAAAAAGTGCTTTTGAGGAGAAGCAGAAACATTTTTGGAGAAGCAGAAAAAAGTAGCTTCTCTCTAAAAGCACTTTTCTGAAAAGCACTTTTGAGAAAAATACACTTAGAAGCAGTTTTTTAAAGCTTGGCCAAACACTAATTGCTGCTCAGATTAATAGGGGTGTGCATTCGAATCGGTTTATCGATAAATCGAATCGATTATTTGTTATCGAAATCGAAATCGAAACCTTATTGAAACGATAACGATAGGCATATGTACAAATCGATAATTGATAAGTAATTATCGATAAGGGTCAAAATCGAATCGATAAATCGAATTCACACCCCTAGACTGTAGACACTTGTTAAATGAGTAATTACCTATTTGTGTAGATTAATATAACATACAGAATGTATATATATTCCGCTACTATTTTGAAAGCGGCTATACAATATTATTTTCCCTAATCTATACCCTTTCCTTTACCCTAAGTCCCTTACCCTATTATTTCCTCTACCACATTTAAGGAATGATCATATTTAAAGATCAAGAGAATGAAGTTCAAATTAATGGAAAACAGAATTAGCCGTGATGATGTGTTTTGTTTTGTTTTATTTTTTTAATACCGTTGGAGTGTTGGTGGCATGCATTTGATCCCTTACTTTAGTTTTGTTGCATGTGCTTGTTGACACAATTTTTATATTATAAAAGGTGTTCGTCTTATTTTAGCTTCTTTTTGTCCATATTAGTTAGGCGCGTTTATAGCGATATACTTTCCGTGGAATCCCGCAAATTTTCTTATTGGTGTAATCGATAACCGAATCGATAAGCCCCCAAAATCGATAAATCGAAATCGATAAAATCGAAACCTTATTGAAACGATAATGATAAGCATATGTACAAATCGATAATCGATAAGTAATTATCGATAACGGTCAAAATCGAATCGATAAATCGAATGCACACCCCTAGCTCCGAAGTGCTTTTCAAATTAATTAGCCAAACATAAACTGCTTCTTACCAAAAGTACTTTTGAGAAAAAGCACTTCTCTAAATAAGCTGATTTTTGCAGCTTGGCCAAACGGGCTATTAAGATCATTGGAGGAACTTGCTTAATTCTTCTTAAAAATGTAAGTAAACAGATGAGCATTGACCCCACTATCCTAGGAGCTAACTAGTTTCGCTTATTATGAACAATTTTTTGCAGTTATCCTTTAGTTGGACATTTGCACAAATGGCCTTTTCTGATGATACTTCAGATATCCCCCCCTCATTAGTCCAGTGCAAATAATTGGCTTCATTCTTACTATTCGCGAATCTGGATTAGTTGATCGAAAGTCTTAATGGTAAACCCGTGCCAATTTTTGGTTGGGAATCTTATAGATTTATTCGAAATAATAGCATGTTTGACCAAGCTGGAAAAATTAACTTATTTTGATAAGTGTTTTTTTTTAAAGTGCTTTTTCCAAAAGTAATTTTGGTGAGAAACAATTGTGTTTGGTTAATCTATATCTATCTATATCTATACTATATTAAAAGCACGAAGGCCTTTAGCGAAATGTCGTTCGTCTTTTTTACCCTTCAAAAATAAATTTTATATTGGGCAAAATAGTAATTTAAGTTAATTTCCTAAAATTTAGGACTTCAAAATCAACTAAAATGTTAATTATTAAATTTTTTCCTTATATGAATTATGTAGAAACTCTTAATATTTAGGTTATATAAATATATTCCTTATTTTAATTGTGTAAATTAATATAGCTTCTTTCCTACACGTACATTAGATATTTACTAACAAAAATAGATCTAATTCTGAGTCTTTAAAGGTTGATTTTTTGACTATACAATCTAAATCGCACAACCAAACTTACAGGCACATCTATATCTATACTATATTAAAAGTGGGGAGCTCCTAAATAAAAAGTTAAATTACCAAATTATCCTTTTGATAATTAAATAACTAATTTACCCTTATTTAAACGTACTTTTTTCTACAATTTCTTTTGGTACCAAATAGTAAACTAACTTTTCTAAAAAGGTACATCACTTGGGGCAGCCAATTCACCGGCTTTGAATTGCTTTAATTTTCAATCGGTACATGCACACACCAAGTGTCTCTTAGCTAATATTTTGAGGAGTTCCAAATAATATTACAAATTAGCATGCCACTCCATTCGTCTTCGATCATTATATACATACCAATGAATTCATCCTCATCTTCAAAATCACATATTATCTCTAGATGGTATTCTTTCATTAAGTCTATTCATTATACCGATTACTCTCGATCATGGCTTGTGTTGTCACACTGCAACTGTTTTAACTCATAGACTTATTACTTTATTTTTATTTCTTGCCTAGCGAGGAGAAGAAATAAAAGTAGCACTTAAAAATGAAGCACAAGCGATCGTAGTCCACCCACACCTCATCATTTTGAGTTTCAATTGGTTGTGGCATTTATCTGTACTTTTAAGTTTTTTTATTAACTAATATTGTCTCTGTGTTTAGTGACGATAGTTATATTTTGTAAAACTACTAATCATTGTTTATATATATGATCCATATAGTTTATTGAGATTAAATTGTATTTATCTTGTATGCACTTGTATGTTAGCTAGAGGTAGTTGATTAGTTAGTTGGTTATTCCAGCTGGCAGTAGTTAGTGGTCAAGTAGTCCAGCTGTCATTTTTGTGTACATATATAGCACTGTACATTTCTCTCATTTTCAGTTAAGTTTTGATTCTTCAATGAAGTAGTTGCTCCTTGCTCTTCTATTCTCTCCTCTTGCAGAAGCTTCGAGACTCTGCCATGGCTGCCATGGCAGCTGAAGTTGAGCTTCACTGAGCTCATTTTGGTTACAGTCTTCACATGGTATCAGAGCGAGGTTGATCCTCCTCAGATCGCAAGGTTAATCTTCCTCACATTCTCTCTTCTGCACAGAGATCTCCTTCTCTCTTTTGCTTTTCTGTTTCTGACCTAGTATGGTCGATTTGCCCTAAACTCGATCAATTTCTCGTTTTTAATTCATTCATCGCGTAGAAATCTGAGGATTTTCATTCCAGTTGTTCTTTGCCCTATCAAATTTTCAATTGATTCAAAGTTATAATGGCTATCACTGACCAACAAGATGCGAATTTTGCTAATACGAGTGCCACGATACCTCCGAGTGGTGGAATCGACCCAAGCGATCCCCTGTATTTGCATCCTTCTGACAATCCTGGAGCGATGCTGGTGTCTGTCCCATTTGATGGGATAGGTTATAGATCCCGGAGGCGTAGTGTTCTTCGTGGATTGTCCGTAAAGAACAAATTAGGTTTTGTTAGTAGAGAATGTAAACAACCAAGTCTGCAATCCCCAAACTATAGGAAGTGGGAACGATGTGATAACATGGTAACATCGTGGATCTTAAATTCTCTTTCAAAAGAGATTGCGGATAGCGTGGAGTTTGCAAGTGATGCTGTTGAATTGTGGAAGGAACTGGAGGATCGTTATGAACAAACCAATGGAGCCAGGCTGTATCAAATTCAGAAGGAGATTAATGATCTCTCTCAAGGAGTCCTTGACATTACTGGCTATTACACTAAGCAGAAAAAGCTGTGG